ATTCTGTGTCCTGCCCTGTTAGATTTCTAGAAGTCTGCTGTCTGTCAGAGAGGGGTCCCATTGTGTGTTTGGTCCAGATGCAGCCTGTTGCCAAGTGGACAGCCACACTGTGCTCTCTCCTTTTTATCCCCATGTTTTCTAGTACAAATATCCATTCATAGGGAAAGATAATGGGAAGAATCCATGTCAAATGTTCAGCAATCTCTTTCCCCCTTCTTCATTATTTGTAAAACATGCAAAAGTGGGGAGAGTACTTCATGGAATAGAAAGCCGAAGTCACTGTCCTGAAGAGTTTGCAATCTAACGATAAATGTAACATTAGGGAGGGCCTAGGGTGAGGAGTTGCAACACTACAATCTTGTCATAAAGCAATACAATGCGACTGGCCACCACTGAAGGAAGACTGACGCACATTGCCCGGCAATATGCTTAGACAGCAAGTGAGAGCTTGATACTCACTTGTACCTAGTGAAACATTTCTGTAATATCATTGTTATTATTTCTGGTTGGGCAGCTCCAGGGGGTACGTCTACACTGCGGCTGGGAGCAAGCCTCCCAAGATCTAGGGGGTCAGGTGGATGTGAGAGCAAGAGCTACCTCCCAAACCGCAATGTCCACACCACTAGTTTTAGCACACTAGCTCGAGCTTCGCTAGCGTGAGTCTGTCTACCAATCTGGGAAGTTCGCTCCAGTTGCAGTGTAGATATACCCATGGAGGCCCCAATCAGGGTCCCATTGCGCTCGCCAGGGTACATGCACATGGTAAAAAGACAGGCCTTGCCCCAAAGAACTCACACCTAAGTGTACAATGGGAAACAGCAGGTGAGTACAACAACGAGACAGCAGAGAGAACAAAATAGCAGTGAGGTAATGATGGAGGGCATAATGAGCCGGGATCACCACTCACCGAGCTAGGAACTCCTCAAATTAGTCTGTATGCTCCATTTGCCAGGCTGCTAGACTCTGTTCTAGGTAGGCCCTTGAATTGCATGATCAAGGTGGCCGGATCTAGAAAGCCCCCAATGGTTTAGTACCCGGCCTACTTAAGAAACTGCCTCTGTCCCCACGAGATGCCACAGAAGAGGTCAGTGAGACATTTGTTCTACAGGCCCCTGGTTCAAAAGAGATCCCGGATCCCAGCAGAGCGTTCTCCATGGAGGGCCCTTGACAACTTTGGTCACAAATAGCCTGAACCTACTGAGCTTCCTGGCAATCTGCAAAGCTCCTCTGTCTTCCTGGGCTGGCGAGTAGATGGAGGAGCACCAAGGGCAGGTATGTGGGGATAAGATGCAGGGGCTGCAAGCTCTTGATTTTCACTTGTGGTTGGTTTCTTGCTGGGTATGAATGAGTGAGGAGAAGCTAGTTTTATTCACGTTTGGGTGATTTTGTTTTTAATATATGTAAAAAGCTCACAGGTCTTCCCACCACTTTCCTTTGTGCCCACATAATAAAGTAAATAAATTGCCAGGGAATTATGAGGCTCTTGATCCCCCTGGTGGACCACAGACTGCACAAGTATGGAAACTAGTTGTTATTTAGATCAGATTAAGCACAGAGACGCACATGTACTTGTTCATTTCAACAGGGGAAAAAATAAAAACATCATAAGGCACCCTTCAAATTAATGTAAAACAGTGAGAAATGGTCAGTTCTTTACATTTTAAGATGACCCCAATGCCACTTTTAAAAATAGGTTTGAGGTAAAGGGTTCTGTCATTCCAAAAAGATCCTTCCAATGCAATTTTTTTGTTTTAGTGTTGCTGTTTTAAACAGTTTGGGAAAAGATCAAAATCACTTACATTCATTCCCACAACACTTTACAAACACAATGATCATTTCATACACCCCGGAGATGAACCATGGCAGCTGTTTAATGGGGCACAGCAGCACTGCATAACCATTTAAAAGTCAGGACAGGAAGATGAATACTGTATCCATTTGGAAACCGCAGGGGAAATATATGTAAGCGGAAAGCAATTAGCTGATATAGAAGCTGGCCAGGGTAGTGGGGTTAAAATCCTTATTCTTGCTGAAAGTGCCATGGAACTCTGAAGGCAATGTTTTTAGACAGAGAAGCCAAGGTTGGTGTACAAACACATATGTGCAATTGGACTCCTACATTCGTATATATAGTACGGCCATTTCCCACACAAATCAGGTGACTGTGCATGCAGATAGCTGGTTAGGTGTCTCTAAACTATTTGTTCCTGTAATCACTTGATTTGACAATGTAGCCGGAAAAATTGCACACACAAATGTAGGTATGGACTTGCCTGTGAATGTTCACATATGGATCTTGGGCCACTATATAAAATAAAATTGGGCCTAGTGACCAGGCATTTAACTTTATGTCCCATCTGAAAGGTAGCACTGTGCTGGGGCGTCAATTCAATACTGCCTCCAAAGGAAGAGTGCGATCTACTGAGTCCCCGTTGTTTCTTGAGTACTGTGGGATTTCCTGGGGATTTCCCATGCAAGTACGGAGCAAGGTCCAATGCTGCTTAGCATAAGACATGATAAACTCTCCCACCTTTAGCCGTCCGACTTCCCAACTGGAATTTAAATTTGGCCCCAATCCTGCAGTGAATTCCCTGCAGGGAGACACTTAAGTCTGTGCAGCCTGCCAATGAAGTCAACAGTCTGACCCAGGAAGTGCTAATCACACTACAGCTGATGAACACATGAGATGGGCTGGAGGCTTTCACAGCTGTTTTAAGGTAAGCTTCTTTTAACTTGAAAACGTGTAGCGAGTGCATGTATACTGCTCATTGTGCATCAGTGTTAAATGAACAAATTCAAATAAGGTGATACATATAATTGATAACGATATAACTTGTCTTAACGTAACTGGCCTCTGGAAGTCTCCTGTGTTCAGATGCCAAGCAGCATTTCCTCTGTCACAATCAATTCCAGCAGACAGGACAGCAGCTTCCTGTTTCTTTAGCCATCGCCATCTTTGCATTTAAGCATATTTAATATTTTAAAAACAAAACTCAAAAATATTCACAACTACATAAGTGATTCTGACATTTTAAAAGTCAATTGCAGTTTTCCTTTGAAGGTTCTGCCCTGCTGATCCTTGGCAGCGTGTTTCTCCAGAGATGTGGCTGCAATCAGAGCCTGCTTGTTTTTCTCCCAAGAAGCTTTTGTGCTTCTTTAATTAGAAATCTGGACTAATGTTCACTCCGGATTCCCCATTTCTGTTCCAGCAACATTCGCTGCACGAGGGACAGAGAGCAAAGTCACTGGGAACTAGGCCAAGAAGAGCTTTAACTGAAACAGTATTAAACTAAAACAATAAACCCTGTGGCTTGATGTGGACTTGCAAAAGATTTTGCATAAGCAGAATCATTTAGGCTTGTATCTGTATAACCAACTGCAGCGGGTATCCCCCACCCTCACATACATACCTATATGCATGCCAACCATGTTGTCAATGCATCGCATCACAGGGGTGGCCAAGTTAAATCCAGGTCCAGTTGGAGTCACTGGCAAAACCTCTATTGACTTCACTGGTGTAGGATCAGGCCAATAGTCTTCATACACCCCGTCCCATCCTACGTTACAGTCACAGGGACACATGGGCATGTCCTTAGCAGAGCAAACAACAGGCTGTCCTTGTCTGGGACACACTCCGCTCTGCTACTGTAAGAGGATGTGTGAACTACTGCAGGCCTAGAGCAGCCAGAGAGTCAGTTCCTCTGCTGGTGGAAATCAGGGTCGTCCCATTGATTTTAAAGGAAGACCCCAGTTTACACCAGATGAGGGTGTGACCCGTGGTGCCTGTGGCAGCCCTCACTGGAAACGCAAAGGTCAGGGCAAGCGGCAGATACTCCCAAGACTGAAATTAAGACTGGGTAAGACTGAAATTAAACTCCCCAACCAGTCACAAACTGTGCTTCTGATCTCCCCCGCCCCCCCTCCGGGTTATCAAGAAGAAAAAAAGAAATCACACAGCTTCCTTTATTGCATTTCAGTCCTAATCAGCACCTAGGGCCAGTACAGTGAGAAGTTATTTTAAACTCTGCTCACTTATACAGAAATGTTCTTCTGACCCTAAAGGGTCAGCCACATTACCAGACGCGTGGCAACCCTCGATGTGCTCTGTATTTAGAGCACTGTAGGGAGATTCAGAGTTGGGGGGGGCGGGGGAGAGCTCCCTCTGAAGTTTAGCAAAAAATGAAAAAGGAAAAAAAATTCTCTATACAATTTCAGGTTTTCATCAAAACAAAAACAATGAAAACAGAAAATGTTTCTGTTTTCTGCAACTGAAACCAAAAGAATATTGGTGGGTTGGGGAAATTTTTTGTTGAAATGGATAACCCCAGGGAAATGTCCGTTGTGGTGGTGGGGGGGGACATTTTATGTAAATATATATATATATATATATTTAGGATGAAAAACTTCAACCAGATGTAATTGTTAGTGAAACACTGCAGAGGGCGAATGTCAGTGCCACATGGTGAATTTTAGCCATTATGATTTAAGATCCTAAGCAGCCTTGTCCATATTTGCATGTTCTCAAGATGCATGTGCAACACATGAGATGCACCCACACACTAGGGTAGTGTACATGCAAAGGTGTACGTATACTCCAGCCTTTGACCTATGCATGCAATGGGCAGATTGCATACACAATAGTGTACACGTTTGAAAAATATGGTCGACATTTTACACTTTCAAATGGTTTCCATTCCTCTATATCATTTGCACAAAATAAACGCTTCCTCTAATCAGTATCTGTGCACTTGATAACAGGTCTATTTTCTTTATGAAATATTTGTAGAACCTATTTCTGGATCTCCTGGATCGTTTGCATTTAACTCCTGGAAAACTGCAGAAATATCACGATTCAGTCCCAGGCAGAATCTTGCACAGGCCCCTAAAACATGCAAACAAATCAGACAGTAAAGAAAAGAAAAGCTTGAGTCTTAAAAATATGATTCAAATATTAATAAAAAAGCCAAAGTGACAAACCATAAATCAAGGATGCGAGTCAATTAAAGGTAGATATGATGGACAGCTTTTATTTTCTGATATTTTAATTTAACAAAGTGCTACATTCCATTGGTACAATATGAGCAGTAGTTCTGGTTTGGAATAGAAAACCACAGGAAAGCACAAGGGACTGCTGTTAGCACTTTATGGAAGCCATGCAGTCCAAAAAAAAAAAAAAAATCGAATCGAAGGTGAACATCCAGCCATGATAGACGTTTTAAAATCAGCAGCTGTACAGTGAAGGTACGTTTTGTCATGACAAGAACTGCACATCAAGCAGGCCTGCTCCTCCCATTTGAACCAAAACTTTAAACAGTGAAACTCTTTTGTGATGCCTACAATAAATTGTGGCTTGTGCTAGCATAAAATTCCTAACCAGGCATCCACTGAGTAACAGAAGCAAGCTACCTGCCTTGTGCCAAACAAAGGGATCATTGCACAGTGGTTACGACTGGGCCGACGGTTTCATGATACACCCCTATTTTCGGAGGCTGATAGTCCACTGTTGCAAAGTAGGGCCAGAAACAAGTGCAGTTGTTATATTTTTTTTAAAAAGCAGTTTAAAAAAAAAGAAGTGGTTTATTTTAAGACTAAGTACAAATAAAATCAAGGAAGCCTTAAGAGACGGGAGGTTTCAGCTCTTATATAGGGTGACCAGATGTCCTGATATTCAGGGCTTTGTCTTATAGAGGCGCCTAGTACCCTGCACCCCCTGTCCTGATTTTTCACACTTGCTATCTGGGCACCCTACTCCCACAGGACACGACTCCCACCCAGCCTGCATCCCGATTATTTCAAACGGATTTGTCCAGCTACTGGTGAAACCCAGGTTGCTGTCTGGGAAGCAATTTTAAAGTCCTCTGAAGTCCTTCCGCCGTCTGCCTTTGGATCAGGCCCTAGATGGACATGCAGTTAAACGATGCGTGCATACCGAGGGCCAGCTCCACCTCCGATTGACTTCAGCGGGCATTGGATCAGGCCTGGCCTCCTTTCCAAAGACATTCCAAAATGATTTTTCACTGGCAGCCTAATAATAGGCCTGGCCATTGTCTCTACTTGTCTATGCAGAGGGAGAGCTGGATCAGAAGATCCAGGTCGCAGCTGAATTCTGTGGCATGCTCCTCATCAGAGGAGAGGCTCTCCAAGCAGCTGTCTATACCAGTGCTGCTAGAATCTGCATTATGTTGCGCTGCGTGCCTGCAGCCCTCCCGAGAGGATGGTTTTGCCCAGACACTGCGTGCCTGGCTAATGACAGCCCCGTTCCTGAGGGAGTCATGATGTCAAGGGGCCCAGAACAAAAGCATAGAGGGACCAGCCCTTTCTGTGGATGTCCCTGTATCTGCCGGACTGGGGCTTTCCCTTCAAACGCTATGGAAGGCTATGCCACTTGCCTCCTCTCCAGCACCCTGCGGGAGAGGAAGAGATTAGCTGGAAACTCTGAGCCTCATTCAAAGCCCACTGATGTCAATGGGTGTCTTTCCATCGACTTCATCGGTCTTTGGATCAGGTCCTCTTGAGCGTCACCTGACAGTTTCATAGGCCCTCTGCTGCTTCCCACAGGCGGATGCACCCCGGCCCCCAGAGGGACCACAATGGCTGACATTTAACATGACCAGGAAGCATAGCGCATCTCAGCGAGCTTGGCATTTCCTGCTACGGCAGCTCATGTCTCACCATAACAGGGCCACTGAACAATTTGTTTGGTGGGGGTGCCGAGAGCCATGGAACCAAACTGCAAACCCTGCATATAATGGAAACCACTTCAAGCCAGGGGGGTGCTGCAGCACCTCCCACACCCCTACTTCCTGCACCTAAGTGCTGTTTAACCACTGGGAAGTTTGCATTTAACTGTCAGACCCTACTTCAGACACAGCTGTTACAGCCCTGTGGTTAGCACATGTGCCTGGCACAGGCAGAGTGAATAAAATCCATGATAGTACTGAGCTGTTCTTGACTGTCAAACACACCAGGACAGACAAGGAGAGAGAAATGCAGCTGTTTCATTTACATGCAGCTTCATCATTTCCGCAGGCAGCCTTCCTTTTAATTTCTTATGAATTTAATGACAGTGGGGAAAAAAGAGAAACGGTTGAGCGTACAAAGTTAGCATTTCCCAAACTACGGCTTTATTAGCACAACAAAAGGCCAGAGTGGCTGGCTAGCAGCTTTTCCAATCCAACAAGCCGACATCCCCAGCTGAGGGGCCCTGGCCACAGCAGCGTTATTTACATTCCTAGCACTGGGATCTCCTCCACCCCCATGCTTCCTCTTTTCCTGCTCAGTCAACACAGGCTACAAATCTGCTGCACAGAGCCCCACACCGCTGTTACCCCTTGTGAACAGTCACTAGCTGCAGCACAATGCAGAGGCTTTCCTTGCAGACAGCCCTGCTGATTCCCAGCCGTTTGGGTCTCACTGAGTCTTCCCGAGTCCTCTGACTCTCATCTCCCCCAGCAGCTCACCTTCCCGCTACCAGCTCAGATCTGTCTTCCGGGGCGTCGCCGCTGGCAAAGAGCCCAGTGAGACCAGTTACTAACCTTGCTGCTCCTAAGTCAGTTACACCCACTCCTACAGAACGGTTCATGCCCTTAGCCCATACGTTCTTCTTTTGCCTCCCCCTTTAAGATGGGAGAAAAATTTCCACAAATATCCAACAGTTGCCTGTATAGCCTCTTGCTCCCAGCCTGCTAAAAGCTGATTCTGGCTGAGACAACATTAATTAAGCTGAGCCGGGATGAAAGTCACTCTGCTGAAGGCTTCGCTTCCCCCTTCAGACCTGGCCACAAGCCTGGCCAGGTCCTCAAAGAGACCAATGAAAAGACCTCCCCATTACCAGAAGCCCCAGCTGGAGCGGGTAGTTAGCCAGCAAAGCTCCTCATTTCGTCAATGTGGCAATACCCCAAAACCATCTTTCCTCCTCCAAGCAACTTGAGAGAGAGAGAAGGAAAGAGTGGGCATTCATTCCAAGAGGAAATACTTCTCCTACCTAGGACTGATCCCTAGCTCTGAGAGAAAGTGGCTTTAACCATTTGTTATAAGAACAAACAACCCTGCCACTGGATTTAAACTGCATTTAAATAAATGCTATATGTTTCCCGGGTGGATTTAGGCAGGATCCTTGAGATCCAGACCTCATGGACAGAGACACCTCAGAGCACCAGTGAGAGGCAGAGTAGCAAGTGGCAACAGAACAAACATCCCTAGCCTGATTCTTGCTTGCATATTTATACCTGCCTCTGGAAATTTCCACTACATGCATCTGACGAAGTGGGTATTCACCCACGAAAGCTTATGCTCCAATACATCTGTTAGTCTATAAGGTGCCACAGGACTCTTTGCCGCTTTTACAGAATAAACAGGTGATTGCTGCCAGGGGATCTGGGACTGCCTAGCAAGGCAGGAAGACCAAAGACCCAGGGGTGGAAGACAAAAGTCTATCTGGAGGTATTGGGAGGGAAAGTCTGTCCCAGAGGGGTGCTTGAAGGAAGACACTCTCCAGGCGGACCCCAACATTTTGTTGGAACTGGCTCTGTTTAGCCTTAGTCCACCTCTATTTTCCACGTGTTTGTTGAGAAATCCCTGACTCACCATGCAGAGCTGTCAGATTGGAAGACTCATCAATAGGCGCATTTCAAATCCTGCTGGTGCCTTCTTTCACGCTCAAGGGAAACCACCGTAACATGGGAAAGAGATACTGCAAAGAACCTCGGTTTGAGTGAGCAAACTTGTTATTACACATCACATTTGTGCATGACATTCTGCAGTCCACTGGCCCTCCATTTCCAGAGGAAGAGCTATCACTATCCCAGAGAAGGAATCCAATTTTTCCGGTTCGCACTGTATCCACTGGTTGGTGCGTGAGCTGTTTTCTGCAGTCAGCAGCCAGTCAGATTTTCAAAGCAAAAGCCTCAGCTTTGCACACATAATCATGTTCCCATGCAGTGTTTGATCACTATCACCTGTGCATGCCAACGATAGAATTTACATACTCAAATGATGCTGGCCCCCACAGGGTGGAGGGTATGGGCAGGGTGATAGGGCAGAAGTGGGACCTCCCGGTATCTCTGGCTTCTGTACCATCCTCACAAGCCATTGGTGTAACTTTCAGGGTTTTGCTATGTCGCATCTTGGCAATTAGCCGGTCCTTTTTACCTTTACAAAGAATTCAATCATACCCTGACTATTCTTCAAGCACGTCTCTCATACTTCTTTCAAAGGTTTAGAGGGATCGATCTAGATAAACGAGCAGCCTCCTGACCTTACTTGACTCATCTTGTCTCCTCGACTCATAGTAGCTTTAGTCACGGTTCCCTGGAATAGGGGCAATTTCCAGCTTGGGAATAAGGATTTTTGCATCAGTGTAATATGGCTGCAGAATGAAGCAGCCATCTCACTGCACGCCAGAGCAGAGGAAATAAAGGGCCTTTTTTTAAAAAAAAACACAAAACATGGCACATATTCTGGGCTGAAACAACCGACCGACCAACCAGCTCAGCAGCAATGCCCCTTCTTTCCTGTCCAGTTCCAGAAACATGTTTTGCTAATTCCCTGTGTAATTTTGAGATCATCTGTACATGTTGATTCTGCTCACGCTTGCTGATGAAATGACCAGTAAGGCCACTTTCCCCCAGCCTGAGCTATCTGTGGCTGCATGTATTACAGCTTTGATTGCCTTTCCACCGATGGCCACACACCCCGTCCTAAAACCTTTTTAAGCTATGGCTGTCTTCACTCCAGCCTCAGCTGCCTTCTGGCCTGTGCCCACATGTTCCCAATCTGACCCCATTCCACCCAAAACCACACATGCTGCAGCCCTGACTGCCTTTTCTGTTTGGCCACATGTATCCCAGCCTTGACTTCCCTCCCCACTGATGGGGCCTTTGCTATCTATGACCATACGTAGCCCAGCCATGACTGCCTACCCATCTCCAGCCACATATATGGCAGCCTTGTGCTGGCACGACTTCTAAACCTGATCTGAATCTGGTCCAAAAAAAAATCTATCGGCCACAGGTGAGGTCCTCCTCAGCACTCAAGAGGAGGAGAGCTGCTTTTGGATGAGCCGACAGCGTGTGCTTCATTTGCCATCCCTACTGCATCCCACACACTACCTGCTTTCCTGATCAATCAGATGGCAGGACACAGCCACAGCATTATGCAGCTTCCATGATGCAGAGGGCCACAGGTGTCTGTGACGCTTATAACAGCTAGTTACCAATTGTGAAAAGAGACAGACACTCGATTATTATTTCTCTAGTACCGCTAAGAGGGCAGAGCTCTGCATGATAGGTGAACCACACCAAACAAATAATCAGACAAGCCCCTTAAGATGCAAACGCTCCAGCCTGCTTTTCCATTTCTTTTGCCTGCTTGATATTCCAATGGCACACTGAATAAAAGCTAAGAGATTCATGCAAAGAGCATCTTAGCATTTGTCAATGTGCGTGTGGTGGCATTTGTTGTGCTGTTATAATGCTGGTGAAAACTGCACTGAATATTTAGGCTGGGAATCATGTTTTGATGCCATTTCCATATGTTTTCCCTAAACATGGAACACAGTTAAAAGGAGGATTTTTTAAAAGGACAAGGGAAATTGGGGCAAGGAACGTACAAATGAGCCTATTATTATGTCCATAATTGGACTGTACTTGGGCATCTCCCTGTTGACAAGGGAGGTGGTTCAATTGTGTAGTTTGTTAATTAAGCAGAACAGCTAATTTTAGCATTGACAAACTCTAGCTCCGGTAATATAACATTTACAGTTAACTAATTGGACAGAAGTCATTCTCGGTGAAGGTTTCCATCCTGAAATTAGGTGACAGCAATAATTATGATTAGTTACCATCAGCTGGAACAAAAACATTACACTGTGATCAACACAAAGTCGCCATCCATTAGAATCAGCTCCAGCTGTAGCAACACGTATTCTGCATTTCAATGAGGAGCACTGTGTGAATGTGTAATCTCACTACTGTATAAAAACAAACATCATTGCGCATTACATTTAGAATACAGCATGCCTGTTTTGCCAGGATGTAAAAACCACTACACAGTGGCACATGGTGGCTGATAGCAGTGATGCAGCACAAATGCCTTCCTTTTGCTCCCTCCTCTCCCCTTGCCCCCGAAAAAGTCACTGGATAGCACAACGGCTCTGCAGTCGGGTTCAAAATTCATCTTCAGAGCTATCAGCTAAGAGCATTACTCGATCTTGCATGCTGTTAAATTCCCTCTGCTAAGGAAAAGAAAAGCTTAGAGTCAATTACATGGGCAAAACCTTTCAATTCCTTCACCCACCCCTCCCCCACTATAATTAATATAATCTAGAACAGTGGTCCATTTCAACCCAAACACACAATGATGCTGCACAATTAGCTTGTATCTACTTTATGAACCACAAATGGGAACAGGAGAGTGGTCAGGAGAGCAGATCTGGGTTTTCTTTACATTTGCTGTACCTTTCTTTTATGCCTTTTGGAGCCGTTTCTCCTTCGGCGATTCATGATCTTAATGCTGTAGAGCGCTCCCAGGATAAACAGGGCTCCAGCTATTCCAACCCCCACAGGAACCAGCATCCCAGACATGTATCCCGCCTACATGAAAAGGAGACAATCACAGCAATACTAAAGAGGCAAGCAATTCAAGATGGTCCTTTCCCCACTAGCGTAAGACTGCAGTGTATTTCTATGCTTTATTTTACAGTATGTTCCCAAACACAACCAAACACCCTTGAAAAAGTGGGAAGGGCTCAGAACTATTTATAACACCACCTTGCTCTTATGTCATGCTTTTCATCAGTAGCTCTCCAAATACTTTATAGGAGAGGTATCATTATCCCTTTTAAAATGCATGGAGATGCAACAATATAAATTGTCTAGCCTTCAGGTATACACATTTATCAGCCTCAGCTTTCGCATAAGAACATAGGAGCTGACAGACTAGATCAGACCTGAGATCTTCTCCAGTTCCTGACTCTAACAGTAACCAGAGCCAGCTGCTTCAGAGGAGGGTGTAAGAATGCTGCAGAAGGCAGAGGTGGGATAATCTGCCCCCCACATCAATTTTTAGTGAAAGCAAGATAATTTGCTATATAGCCTAAGATGAGGCTCTTTGCACGATACCTGGCCTATTGAGGTGTTTGTACTGCGCTCAGCACTATAGGATCTGAAGATTAGGCACAGACTAAATGAGTTTCAGACAACATCAACCCCCTCCCATGTTTTAAATCCCTGCCTGAGCCAAACCTCTAAAGCAGGGGTGGCCAACCTGGACCTGAGAAGGAGCCAGAATTTACCAATGTACATCGCCAAAGAGCCACAGTAATATGTCAGCAGCACCCCATCAGCTCCCCTGCTCTGCTCCCAGTGCCTCCCGCCCACCGGCAGCCCTGCCGATCAGCACCTCCCTCTCCCTCCTCGCACCACCTGATCAGCTGTTTCGTGGGGTGCAGGAGGCTCGGGGGCGGGGGAGGAGCGAGGGCATGGCAGGCTCTGGGGAGGGGGGTGGGAAGGGGTGGAGTGGGGTCAGGCCTGTGGCAGAGCCAGGGGTTGAGCCGTGAGCACCCCCCGCACATTGGAAAGTTGGCACTTGTAGCTCCAGCCCCGGAGCTGGTGCCTAGACGAGGAGCCGCATGTTAACTTCTGAAGAGCCGCACGGGGCTCCGGAGCCGCAGGCCGGCCAGCCCTGGTGTAAAGGGTCAAGTTCCATTAAAAACTCTGGGTTGAAGTCACCACTGTCATATGTGGCTGCAACTCCACTGACATCACTGGAGTTACCTGTGTACGTCAGGGTGAATTTGCCCCTTTGCCTGTTTAAGGCTGGCTGGGGTTTAGAGTTGGAATGACTCTTTGCTCACTCCCAGCCTGACCAGCTGTGCTCCAAAGGCTGCACAGGGACACTGAATAACAAAGGATTTGACAACAGTTACCACCGTTCTGTACTCTTCAGAAAGGAAATAAATGAGGCACTGGATTGCAAATGCTGTGGGCAAGTGGCGCAGTGTCACTGTTAACAGGGGACCGTGGGGGAGAGAAAAAAGCCTGGGTTGTAGGCCTATAACTAATTGTGTGCCTAGACGGGCACGTCAACAGGCCCATTGCATGTTGAACACCACACCCCTGACATGAGGTGTGCCTAAATCAGAGCACAGAAATAAAGGGGCCTGGGCTTACGTGAGCTCAGGGTAGGGAACAATTGGCCAGGAGCTTCAGTTCTCTTATGGAATCATGGCCATTTCTTTGCACTCCCTGGTGCGTGGTTAATTGTGTGCTGCTGTGTGCTTAAAATGCATTCTTTGAAACTGAAGTCCCACTCAGCCAGGGCTAACGTCACCCTCCACTCAAAGGCCTTCTGTCCCACTTAGTTGGAGACTGGTCCTACGTTGAGCAGGGGGTTGGACTAGATGACCTCCTGAGGTCCCTTCCAACCCTGATATTCTATGATTCTATACGCTAGGCTGGGTCTGTGCCTGTGTGTGCACACATGCGTGTGCATGAGGAATAGCTGTTGTACAAGGATGTCGGGGGATGTGAGTACACACGTGTGTGCGTAGTGTCTGTCATTGTGCAAACATATGGCTGCAGAGAACAATGGTCATCCTCCATTTTGGAAGGCGGGGTTCTGGACTGCAGAGAACAGGACACACTGGCTTGGTGCAGGCTCTCATTGCTGGGCTAATACCTACATAGAAATAATTAGGCTGTTAAATACAAGCTCTCCATTCTGTAATAAGGAGGACACCACGTAGACGGGGGCCACACTGGCATTGGCAGGGAGTCTCTGCAATGCCTACTAAAGCTGGGCAAACAATGGATATTTCAGTTTGCTGGAAATTCTGGGGGAGGGCGAATTGTTTCAGGTCAACCCAAAATTGAACATTATTAAAATTTAGGGCAAATGAAAAGGTCAGGACAAAATGCTTCATCTAGAGTGTTTCGTTTTGATTTCAAGTCTCCCCGCCCTGTTTTAAAAATAAAATTGAAGGTAATTTTGAGAGAAAAAGTTGCTTTAGATCAAAAGTGTCAAAACAAAACTTACGATTTTTTCCCCCAACTGAAATAAGTCACCAAAATCAGCACGAATTTGCTCAATATTCTGCTCAACCTGGATCGGCTGTTTCCACCAGTACAATGTTTTGGCTGAAAAATTTTGCCCAGACAGGACCAGGAGGAGGGAGATGCTGTGGACATGGTAACAGGGCAGCAACAGGACCTAGGTTTAAACTGACCCAGTGGCCCAAGATTTCCTGCCCAGAGGGATGCTATTCCAGCCCAGCAGCTGACATAGTGGCTGGAGAGGAGTTGTACGACTGTGCCCACAGATTGGGGAAAGACGGTAAATGCCCAACTCCATCCCGCTCCCGCTTGATTCCATGCACAAAGCCAAATTACTCTGCCTGTCTGTAAGGAGGGGTGACTTTCCTGCTGCATAATTTAAGTGGGCAGTACAGTAAAACTAAGGGAATGCTGTTATCACAGCTGAGACGCGACATGTAACTCAGCCAAGAAAAGAACACCCGCTGTGAGAAATGCAGCTAGGATAACCTGATTTAAATTCACTACTGATTATAAGCAAATTTGCATTGCCTGGCAGTTTATAATCTGGGAAATGGCCAGTAACCAAAAAAAAAAAAAATGAATATTTTGGAAATAACTGCTAGATTTACAAAAACACTTTTTAAAAAATGTGTGTTGTTTTACATTTTACTGTTTTAAATGAAAATTAACCCACATTTTTAGTGCTCCTACGGTTTGGGTGCACCCAAAATTTGCACGTACAAACAGCTCTGGCATTGCACACACAGCTGAGTCAGTCAGGTCCTTACCCTTCCATATATGCACACACAAATGCAAGTGTAAGTGTCCAAAATGGTTTTGACACATGCAGATGGATACATGCACAATTCAGAGGCCTGCTGAAAATGGGGGCCTTTTAGTTTTGGTCCTCATTCATTTGCAATCATACACATTCAGCTGAGGGAGTCTCAGGCTCGAACAGAGGTGGGCAAACTACAGCCCAGGGGCCGCATCCAGCCCTCCAGACATTTTAATCCGGCCCTCGAGCTTCCGCCGGGGAGCGGGGTCCGGGGCTTGCCCTGCTCCAGTGTTCCAGCTGGGGAGTGTGGTCAGGGGCTTGCCCAACTCCGTGCTGCTCCCAGAAGCAGCAGCATGTCCCCTCTCCGGCTCCTATGCGTAGGGGCAGCCAGGGGGCTCCGCACACTGCCCCTGCCCCAAGCACTGCCCCCGCAGCTCCCACTGGCCAGGAACTATGGCCAATGGGAGCTGCAGGGTGGCGCCTGTGGACAGGGCAGCGCACAGAGCTGCCTGGCCATGGGTCCACGTAGGAGCCGGGGGGGGGGACATGGCGCTGTTTCTGGGAGCTGCTTGAGGTAAGCGCCGCCCAGAGCCTGCACCCCTGACCCCCTCCCGCACCCCAACCCCTTGCCCCAGCCCTGATCCCCCTCCCACAAGCTGAACTCCCTCAGTCCCAGCCCGGAGCACCCTCTTACACTCCCGACCCCTCATCCCCAGCCCCACCCCAGAGCTCACACCCCCAGCCAGAGCCCTCACCCCCCACCCCCACATCCCAACCCCCTGCCTCAGTCCAGAGCCCCCTCCCGCATCCTGACTCCTCATTTCTGGCCCCACCCCAGAGCCCACGCCCCAGCCGGAGCCCTCACCCCATCCCGCACCCCAACGCCCAATTTCTTGAGCCTTCATGGCCCGCCATACAATTTCCATACCCAGATGTGGCCCTCGGGCCAAAAAGTTTGCCCACCCCTGAGCTAGAAGAATCTGACACATGCTTCTTGACCGTAATTGCTTTTCTTCCATAAACCGCTAAGTGGAAAAATGCTATTTGGCACGCATTGCCTTTGGATTTTAATCTGGAGAATGAAAACGCATACTTTCCCCTGCGAAAGAAGTTGTTAGTGAGAGCTGATTTATACACTGTCCACATCATAAACCCCTCTTAATATCATGGCTCTCTTTGAGCTGTTACAGGACTGTAGCCTTGTTGGTCCCAGGACATTAGAGACAAAGTGGGTGAGGGTCCAACAAAAGATATTACCTCACCCACCTTGTCTGTCTGGTACAGGAATGGCTCTTCCCATAGTAACAGCTTTATCCCTGTATCCCAAGGCCTGAGGAATGTGTTTGCCGTTTGTTTGCATTCACTGTGTGTTTAATGGCACATTACCGCATGCTGCAAGTGCATTTTTTGAAAGTGTAGCCTCCCTCAAAAGGAAAGTTACTGCAAAAGGAGGTTCGGAAGAATACAGTTGAATGGCTAAATTTCAGAGAGTTAATTAAGGTGCCTTAATTGTGTGACCTAATTAATACACTATGGGCATTTCTATTCCTGGAACTTTGCCGTGAGTGCAGACCACAAGGGGAGGTTGAAATGCTTGCTGTTAGCATTAGCCCAGGCATGGTTTCCAATCCAGAAAGCTGTGTTTGTTCTGTGTTCGAATCTTGATTCTCTAGTCAGCCACGACCCTAGCAAATCTGTGCTCCTTTCTAGAGCTTCCTCATGCAATTGTGTCAGGGTCCTGTATCCAAATGCCTGCAGTATGGGCTAAATCCTGGCCCTACTACCTCACACCCTAGCCCGTGGAGTACTGCATGTATACTCAGTGGGAAACCCCACCTCCGGGGTGGCTGTGTAGCCACTCCTCTGCACCCAGCCCTGGGGGCGGAACCTGACTGCTCCCATGAAGGTGATGTTTGGCAGGGAGTAGGACCTGCCTGACTCCACAGGGCTTGGAAGGGTCAACAACATAGGACTTTAAAGAGGCCACACGGGCATCACTCTACATGCTGGCTGCACGTGGGATAGAGCTAACTGGGGCAAAGAACCCCCCTCATGACATTTGGAAGAGGGGGAAGACACTCCCATGATCCCTAACCCCCCCAAAACCGAAGAAGAAAGAGGACATCAGTTTAGTGACCCCTTATCTGACCATCCCCTGTGGCATTTCCACAGCCCCTGAATGGAGCCCAAAGACAGGATTGCATGGATGGCTCGTTTACATGCACTCCCTGCCTCCCAAAGCGGTTCCACACAGCGTTCTCGCAGAACCACGGCATACTCCCTTTGGCACAGGACCTGAGCCATCAGAGGTCAGATGGGCTGGTGGAGAATTGGGACAGGAGGCAGTAAGGGGTTCAGGTGGCCAGAATTTTGCCGTATACTAGTCCGAGTGCAATCCTGAGCAGAGAAGAGAAAATATTAAGCCTAAATCTTACTAGGAGTCTCAATCGGAAAAAGGATACAAGAGGTTGAGTGCGTAGTTTTATTTAGCATTTTATGTTGGGGTGTTTATTTTTTTGAACTGGAACAAAGTGTTACTAGATAATATAAAGTAGCATGAAAAAAAAAATCAGCCCAGTATAATTCCCATCCCCTGGGATGTCTGTGAATCTGAGGCAAATCCCTCCATAATGTGGACGCTAACAGATTATTTTTTTTACACTGGAACAACGGCAGTAAAGCCTGGGTTGGGGCACAGCAATGAAATACGGCACCAGCCTGCAATAGGCTCAATCGATATTAGAAAGAACAGAGCAATTCCAATTTGAAATTGCAGAGTGCACAGGCATTTGCAACAGGGAAAGGAAAAAGCTGGAGAGGGAAAGAGGGAAGTGCCAGGAGGAGCAAAATGAAAGATATACACTCAGTGAGAAGAAAAATGACACCAAGCCAGTGCAATGAACTGGGGTAGCTTTGGCATTAGCAGGCGACACATTTGCGTGCATGCTACTCAGGACACTCAATCTTGGTCTTTGTTTTCCTCATGAAGATGGTTTTCTCCCTCCCTCGCATCTTGAGACTTTTGGGGTGGACTGGCTGAGTCCTAGGCTAAGATGCTTTGCTAAAAGCCCCCACACTGGACCTCCTCCCTAGTACAGGCAGACAAGCACCTCAACACAGGAGGGGTAGAAACTCACCTTAATCCCCTCACACACGCCATTCCAGGAAAACTGCTATCCTGATCCCTTCTCCCCCATTATATTGATGGGCTCAGGTTCTGGTAGGCGGTGCTGGGAGGGGGTGAGTGGAACTGCTGGGATCAGTGTTATTTTCCCCTTCTGATCATTGGTCCAGGCCCTGAGAGCTTTCGTTCTGGTCTTGCCAAAAGGGGTTCTAAGCCCTAGTGAGTCACAAAAATGTGTTTCCAAGCTCAGGGGCCACCTGATTTATTCTTCTTTGGTTTCCATTTCTTTGTTGTCAATGAAATAACATTGCAGTAGCTTCACAACATTACAAAATTGGTATTTCTCCCTGGGCAATGTCTGAGAAGCTGTTTGAGTCCCACCCTGCGGTTGGTGCAACAGGTCCTCCTTGAGTCCACCGATAACTCCCCAGGGAAGTGAACAGAACACTGGTGCTTTCGTTGCCCCCACAACCTCCTCTTGGCTTTTCTGGGCGGTTGCAGCTCCTCTTGAACATAGAGCCAGCAGCAGCCGCATGGCGCACGCGCTCTCTCTCTCACACGCATGCACACTCGCTCTCTCTCGCATGCATGTATGCACGCTCTCCCTCGCATGCACGCTCTCTCTTGCACGCTCTCTCACACGCATGCATGCTCTCTCGCGCGCTCTCACACCCGCGCATGCTCTCTTGGTCTCTCTCACGCATGCTTTCTCTCTCACGCTCTCTCTCTCGCTGTCTCACACATGCGCCCTCGCATGCTCCCTCTCTCACATGCACTCTCTTGCTCACACGCCCATGCCCTCTCGTCTCTCTCTCGCATGCATGTGCTCTCTCTCACTCGCTCGCACGCACGCAGGCTCTCTCTTGCGCGCGCACCCTCTCGCTCTCTCACTCGCACGCGCGCAGGCTCTCTCTCTCACCCCCTCTCTCTCTCGTGCGCATGCACCCTCTCGCTCTCTCACGCACACTCTCTCGCGCGCTCTGAGGCGGGTGGGTTCCAGAGCTCTGCCTGCAGCCCAGGCCCGAACGTCTACACTGCGATGAAACAGCCCCAAAGCCTGAGCCCCGTGAGCTTGAGTCAGCCGGCACTGGCCAGCTGCGGGTGTCTAACTACAGTGTATACACAGTAAAGATGCACCCTTACACTGTGCTGGGAGAGGGATTCACTGCTGAGGTGAGGCCTGAAAGGAGAGGGGAGGAAAGCAGGGCAGCAATCAGAAGGACAGGGGTTTAGAACAGGCACACGAGTGGTATTAAGGAAGGGTGCTGCACTAGGACAGGGGAACATACACTATCATAGATTGTGTCCTAGAAGAGTCACACTCGCCCTATGCTTTAGAGGTGCATGTTCGTGGGGGTACGTCATCTCAGTCTTAGGTAGAGCAAACAGCACTAGGGCACAGGCGTGCCACTCCCACAGAGCAGACCTACTGCGATCCCGTCCCAGGCCTCCAGGGAGACAAGAAGGAAAGAGGGAGAAAAAAAAATGTCAGCCTTTCCAGCAGCTGGGAATGGAAAGACCTCTCACCAACCAGGAGATGGAAGGAGAGAGATGAGAAGCTATCTAGCCCGATCACAGAACTTCCCCAAAATAACTTCACCGGTCTAGACTTCTTTTTTCCAAAAGTCCAAATTTAATTGTCTTTAAAATCAATCAAGGGAAATAAAGAGCTTCCTACCTTATCTTTTAGCTTTTCCATCCAGCTTCTCACTAAAAAATAAGGAAGAGAAAAATATATGAATTGCAGTCATAATTTGTATCTAATTAATATAACATAAGTAACAATGCTGTTTACAAATAGCCACAGTAAACTTGACAGATGGGTAACATTTTCATTAGGTTTCATATTTTCTCAGTTATTAAGTAGACAGAATGCAGCAAATCAGCCAGAAAAGAAACTTTAACAAATTCCGCTTGATGGGAGATGAACTGGCATCGTTTTGCATGATCCGGGCACCACTGGTCTCAAGAGGGAAAAAGAAAAGAAGACGAAGATGAATGTTCCACGATCGGTTCCCTCATCCCAGCAGTTCCCAGCATGTGTATAGAGTTTGCAAGGGAGAAAAATCTGGCGGTGAGTGGTCGATTGTAGATTCGCCAGGCAGTGTGACTGTCTGCTTCTGTTGAACTCTCCCATTCAGAAGGATTCTTTTCTCTGTAAAAGGGTATGGTTATCTTGGAGACTGAAAACTCCTTTTCCCATTGGGTTCACAGATAGCTTTTATGCATAGGGCTGCATTCTGGCTTGTCCAGAGTGGGTGAACTAGGATGGGAGAGCATTTCAAGGGTCTTCTTACTCCAGCTATGTGTGATCAAGGCAGGATGTTGACCTAGCATCCCCTGAGTACTGCGGTGAGAGGGAAGCCAGGTCTGCGTCCCCACTGCCCACCTGCTGGCCTCTGGTGCTGGAAGGGACATACGCTACACCTTTCACCAGCTGGTTTCAGGACCACTGTTCAGCATGTTCCCTCAAGCAGTCCCTGAGGCAGTCTGCTGGCATCTGCCCTGGAGAAATTTGCTCAGCCCCTACAACTCTGCACATATCCACAAAGGAGAAAGGGCACAATTTGTCCCTTAGATTGAAGAGTCTGCAGAGTAGGAAGTGTGTCTTACTCTGTAAGATTTTGCAAAGTGTTGTGTATGTTTCCAGTGCTACACAAGTCATTATTAATTATTTATAAATAACCAAGAGAGTCATTCAAAAACAGAGGCAAGTCAAAGTCACAGTTCTGGCCACCCGTGGCAAACAAAAGTGGCCCTGCCTTCTGACAATACAGGAAAATCCATGTTTGAAAAGCACATGTTGAAAACAGTCTCTTGAAAGGTCTGTTATGCCTGTTCACTAGTTTTATCCTGCCTTTAAGATGCTCACATCAGCTAGTCTCTACTCCAGGTCCCCGTTACAAAAAAAAGAAATCCCCTCCTATCTAGGGACTGCGGAGAAACTCATCAATACTGCAGAACTGCTGTAGAAGGAACGTGTGAGATGCATGACGAGTGCTCAGCACCAGTCCTCTGGCTACTGAATTGCTTCTGTGACTGACTTAATTCAAGACACCGTAGAGAAGTTTCTTCAGATTTCTACTGGACTGAAATTGTGCTCCTGGCATGTTAACTGGCAACAAATGGAGGTTGCTGTGCCCTCTTGTGACAAGAAACCTGCAAAGCAGATATGGATGCAGCCACTAGTGACATGAGTTAGATACTTGCCTTCGGCTGAAATAGCAGAGATACTGATTTCGGATCCTAGTGCCCCCAGGTCAAGTCTCAGCCCCAGGAAGGTTGGATTCACCAAAGACCCACCTATCAGACTAATGGGAAGCTATTTTCTGAGCCAGCTGCTCACATTTGCAAGTGCAAGTCATCTGTACATGCACAAACGAGATAATTCCCTGTTTCTACCCAATTACAGGAAGGTCATGCAGGGTTATGTGGGACTATCTGGTGCACACAGCTCTTAAAATGTGGCCCCTTAGGGAAGGGGCCTGCTCCAGTCTCCTTCCCTCTCCCACAATGTTTCCCACTGTTGTACCCACTAGTTCAATTCTACTGATCACAGAAAAGGTGGGAGCACGAGTGAAGACCAGCTACTGGTGCATTCAGCACCGTATTTCTTACCATTGCTCGGAGTAAGCCTAGAAGACATGGTGGTTAAAACACCTGTGGCCACCGGTGAACATTCTACACTGCACAGTCTGCTCTTGCTACCACTGAAGGCGCTGAACTAGCAGCCGCAGGAATGCTGTGTGCTGGTGAGAGGACTCAAAAGACTTTGCAGACTTATTCTGCTGTGTGGCTAAGGGACATCCAAGGAGCTCTCCAAGGTGCTGCATCAGCACTGGTCTGTTTGGTGACTCCTAGATGAGCTGTCCCCTTGCAGGTTCATTGCTATGGCGGCTGGATTTGTGATTTTCCTGTGGAATGGAGTACATGCAGTCCCACAGGGAGCAATACACCAGTCCGGGGCTTCATTAGGTCAGTCATGGGACTTTATTGGAACTGGGAGTATCCTCCCAAGGGATTTCTGGTTTAGTTACAAATGCATTGCAGGTTCATGCTATCACCAGCTGAGAGTTAAGATAACTCATGTCATATCAAAGAATTAAACCCTGCTTCATGTCATGCACTATGGACTTAAACATCAAGATAATCTCAAAGAACTGAAAATGATTAACAGTGGGAGCACCATTTATTAATTCTACTGGTAATGCTAGATTCAGCCTTAGGGCACTGAAGACAAAATGCTTAGCCTTTGGGACATCTGCATCGTTTTATATGGTTTCAGAGTAACAGCCGTGTTAGTCTGTATTCGCAAAAAGAAAAGGAGTACTTGTGGCACCTTAGAGACTAACCAATTTATTTGAGCATGAGCTTTCGTGAGCTACAGCTCACTTCATCGGATGCATGCCGTGGAAACTGGATGTTTCTCTCATACTAAGAGGCAGTGGACTAGTGAAAACCAGTTCTTTTATCAATGTCCAATGATTACGTTTTAAACAGTAGTCAAGGATCCACTTTTCACTGTGGAAGAGATTAGATCTGTCCATAATTTTGGATGGATGAGTGTTCTTTCAGGTAATACTTTCCCCAAGCTACAGTAGATCCCAAATGTAATCTGACACATTTCCATTATGGAGAGATACCTGATTTATAAAGGATACCTCCCTACAGGGCATCACTTCAAAGATTTCACTTGCAGTATGAGAGTCTGCCTGTTGGCATATTAAAAGAGTGCCACTTTTACCAGACAGTCTAAGGCGGCTTAGAGCATCAGAATGTAATGGGTTATACGCCTTGCATTAACAAAGAAAACAGAAGTAACAAAACAGAGGTTAACAATGGACAAAGCATGAAATTCACAAGTGGCCTTGTAAATAACCTGCAGGTAGTAGATCAAGAAATATTAAGGGTCATGTGTGATAACTTTGCAGCTGCAGCCTTGTTTACTAACATTTACTAGCATAGGAATTGATGCTTAGTCCATTGTTAAGTTCTGTTTTCTTTCATTGTTTGTGCAAGGCCTACATGGGTGGGTGAGAGGGTATAGCAATGCGGGGCAGGAGTGAATGGGCTTTAAATCTGTCAGATTAAAAAATAGGGATAGACAAACTGGGTGGGAAGAAATAAGATCCAGGCCAAACCCTCTCATGATTACTAACCTAAACTAAGCCACTTTTAAAGGTTTGGATCAATTTGGATAGTCCCCCTTCAATAATCAATAATTTCTTATGTTAACATAGCACCTTCCATACCTAAACAAATACAGTGTATAAAGTCTCTCACACACACTTTGAAACACAGCCATGGAAGAAATGTGGCAATCAACAAGTACATAGTCACACTGTTGTTTAGATCAGGAAGAGGCATATACAGTATCTAACTGAACTGTTCTAACTTATGCCAGTGGGCTGGAGCAGAAGCAGATACACTCTGTGACTTACACACACACCCCCACACACACACAGATGCCTTCTTCTCCAATCCCTTTCATGGGTCTTCAACAGCATTTAAGAAGTGCTGGCTTTGAATTGGATTCCCTTTTGAATATTAAGTTAAGCAAAGGAAATACGGAGAGAAAAACATAGCTCTATGCTCCCCGCATTGTGCTACTCCATGTAAAACTAAAGTGTAACTTTCACTTGCATGTCAAGGAGAAATACCACTCTACTGCCTCAAGTGCCCCGCACTAGCCCTGAGAGTGTTAAAACCAGCCTAGGGAGGCTGAGCAGCAGGCAGCCAAAGGAGTGGCTGCAGGGGAAACAGCCAATTAGGGTGGTGGCTGCAGACAATTAGGGCGGTGACTGCACCAGCCAATCAGCACCCAATCAGCCCATATAAAAGGAAGCTGCAGACCAGAGGGGGTTAGTTTGCTGCAGGCAGCCCTAGGGAGAAGACTGGCTTTCTAGGGGGCTACAGCAAGACCAGCACCTGGGGAAGGACAGGTGCTAGCAGGGACCCAGGGAGCTAGCTCCTGTCGTGCTACCTGGACTTTCAGGCTTGAGGCCCTGGGAAGAGAGCAAAGGGGCTGGGGGCAGGAGCAGAAGAAACTGAGGCTGCAGGGAAGTGGCCCAGGGAATAGAGATAGTGAGCAGGAAGGAAGATGCAGCAGGAAGCTACTGGCCATGGCCCAGAGTAGTGGGCAGGAGTGGCCCGGCTGTGGACTGCCACGCCACTGTGAGGAGTGACCCCGTGACACCTCATTATATTTCAGTGAGCAGAAAATGAAAGAGAAAGCAGGTGATATCTGACAGACGCCATTGCATGGGAAAATTCTATTTAGAAAACAAAAATATTGGGAAAAAAATATGGCAAATCTTCAAGTGAATTCTGCTAAAAGTTGCATACAGTAATAAAAGAACCAAGCTTCTTAATTAACTAAGCTATTATTTTTCCATTCCAGTTTCCTATGCTAGATGCAGTAAGAGTCTAATGAATTCTCAAACTTGTATTGGAATGGCTGTAGGTCCAAAATAAAATTCAATGCACATTTTGAAGATTTAGCTGGAAGTCGTAGATATATACACATAAATATAGCTTGTTAGAGCTTTAATTATACTAAATTTGCCTTAAGTCAAGTTAAGCACAAAACCCATTTGTTATCTGTTTTTCACAATAATTACATTGCAGTAGGAATCTCATGAATAGAATGACCTACTTCCTTGTAAAAGAACAACAATTGAGCATCTCTAAAGCAGCAATTAATGTAAGAA